CAGCTCGCGGGCCACCTAGCCGGTCGTGCCACTGAGCATGCCCGGTGCGGCGGCGGCCCGCGGCGCCCAGCCGTCCGGCCGTCCCTTCCCGCCTGGATCTGCGCTCCGGGCTCTGCCTCCGACCGAAGAGCGAGCGCAGGGGGAGGGCAGGTTACAGGCCCCGGGTCCCTAAGACCCACCCAGCGCGGCTACGGGACGAGGACGTGCTTCGTGGAGGGGGAGGTGATGCACGCCAATCGCACGTGGCAGGTGGGGAGGCGACCTGGAGAGGGAGGCGGAGACACATCCGCCGCCGGTGCCTAAGATTACAGCCCCCACCCGAGAGTGGGGAGGGGGCCTAAAGCAATTTAAAACTCCTGGCCCCCACCTGGGAAACCCAAACCAGTCCCTCCAGTCCTAGGTTACTGCTAAGTCACGGAGAGCGGCTTCGCGCTGAGGATCCGGACTTGCTCCAAGAAAAGGCAAGACTCAGTGCGGGGGGATCCAGTCCCTGCCTGCATTCTCCCTCCCCACTCTCTGGGGGCGTGGGGAGGCGGAGCAGGTGGCAACGTCTAGCGATCAAGGCCCGCGAGTTAATAATAGTGGGAGAGAAATTGTCGACTTTTGTTTTCAGGCTTTTGGATGCAGAATGCAGATTACATACACACCTCTTGATTTTTTTTTTTTTTTTTTTTTTTTTGCTGCTCTCTTCCCAGTGCCGGGAATGACTATTGAAACCTGTACTTGTAAATGACTGGCACGTTATATCACTCCTCGCGCCACCCCGGAACTTGTTGAGAAGACCTAGCTTTCCCAACTCTAACCTTCCTTCCACTCAGAATGGCGCTTGGACGAAGCTATGAAAATCCAGAATTCTTTTTTTTTTTTGGGGGGGGGGGGAGGGCTAAGATGAAGCAGCTGCTTTTAGGCAGCCAAGTAACAGCACCAACTGATTAGGTAGTAGGCACCCAACAGCGATCGCCACAAGGTGCTAAGACTCTAGATTTGGAAAGACCCAATCTATTCGGCTCTCTATCAGATCCTCAGCAGCTGCCCCGTACCTGGTTGCTGACTCAGTGTTCTACACCTGTTGAAATCCGAGCTCAGTTTTGATAGTTACTTTGTGCTGCTGTGTTAGTGGCTATAAGCTTGAAACACCATGTACAACGTGTCCTGCATGTCTTGAGAGCCAGATACTAGCTGGATGTGTGTAAACAACAAGCCCCACTGCTCCGTGACTTGCCTTGCCTCTCCTGAGCCTGGCCTTACTACAGCTGATTCCCATTATTTGCGCCCTCGATCCTTCCATCTGTCCCCTAGATGACTCAACTATTCAGTATTTATTGTACTTATCTTCTGTATTCCAAGGCAATAAGGATCAGCTGAGCACGCACAGCAGGGTGGAAATTTCCAGCTGGGCTCTCTTTTAAGCTAAAGATGCACTCTGTACAAAAGTCTAAGATTTCACTGCTTCCGTCTCTTGGAACACCTAGGCAGGCACCCAAGTCTGCACATTTCCTATCCCCAAGATTTTACTTTAAGGGCTCTCAATGAGGGCCCAGCATCTGTGTTTAAAAAAAAAAATTAAAATGACTTTCTATAACTATATTATTGTATATAAATGCCTAAAGCAGGTTCATAACATAAATATGCAGTGTTATAATTTGGTCTCCAAGTACTGTAATTAAAAAAAAATACTCTGTCAAAAGCGATCTTAACAGAAAGGGATTTTATTTGGCTCACATTCTCAAGTTATAGTCTGTTATTTCCGGGAAGTCAAGGCAAGAACTTAAGGCAGCTAGTGACCCAAATGCAGAGGATAATGTTGCCCACTAAGAGCTGAGTCGTCTCATATCAATCCATAACCAAGCCACTCCCGCATAGCTTGCCCACAGGCCAAACTAAGCTAGACAATCCATCACGTAGCCCCGCCTTCCAGAAGTTACCACAGACGGATAAAACAAACTATAACATGTATTGGGCTGGGTGGGTTTTTTTTTCACTTTTTAAAGAACATGTCTATCTTCTTTTAGCAACCTTGTATTCTCAATATTCTTATAATAGTATTATCTATACTCAAATATTGTACCAGTCACAAAATCCTGCAAACATACATAGTCTCATGCTGTCTTGACAGTGTGGAAACACGGTATAATCCATATCTTCCGCTTGTTCTCCTCACTGGTACATGAGCAGGGTTCTAAGCAAGATGTGTATTGTCAAGGAGACAGCCTAGGTTTGCTTCACCATGACACAGAAATATTATCACTTTTTATACGTACCATCGTGATAGAGGGGAAAGAGGCTCAGAAGCATGGCCTAGTGGAAATCCCTCCAAATCAACTATATATCTAGACCATTAGTGTTTAAAACTCCAAGACTCGGCATCCGTCTGCCTTCCCCCAGCCAAGTGATTCTGATAGTGGTGATGTGTTGAACACACTTCAAGAGCACAGATGTCAGGGTGTTCAAGCCCGTGGGCTGTGAGGGACCTATCAGTCGTCATGAAACTTAGAGTTCCAGGACGTGGAAGACTCCTAGCCTTCCTCAAGGCCGATGAAAATTAACCTACATAAGCTTAGTAATTCAGTGATGTAATTTAGTTTAGTAATTTCAATGATGGAGGGCGTGAATTGGGGAACGAGAAACAGACTTCTTTTTCTAAGACCTGCCTCCAAAATTGGGCAGGCTAAAAAATGAAGGATCAGAATTCAGGTCTCAGCTCTGCCATAAATCAGCCATTTGTGACCTCGACCCTAGCAGTTCACCTTGTCCATTCAAGGTTCCAAGGCTGATTCACTACCCATGACCAACTCTTTCTTTCATGGGGAACGGAATGGTTTGAGTTTCCTATGGCCCAGTTTGGTCTCTAACTCCTTATATAACCACGACTGTCCTTAAACTCCTGAGCCTCCTGCTTCCAGCTCCCCAGTGCTAGGATTACTGGTTTGCACCACCACACCCTGTTTAACAAGTATTTCTTGAACACTGCTAAGAGGTAAGCAATGTTCTAGATGCTGTGGATAATACAGTTTACCAGATAGAGGAGTAGGGCCTGTTGGAGCCAGCGAGATGGCCCAGCAGATAAAGGTACTTGCCACACAAGCCTGGCAACCTGAGTCGAGTCCCCAGAACCCATGGAAAGGTGGAAGAAGAGAAGAAACTCCTCAAAAGTGTTCTTTGACCTTCACTTGGGTGCCCTAAGATAGAGAATGAGAATAATAAAATAAAATTATTCCCCATACACACACTCACACAAACACACACACAATTAATTAATTAATTAGTTAATTAATTAAATGTACACAATAAATTTGTGTAATGACTTTTTTTAGGTAGGACATCACTGAGAATACCCACTCAGGACATCACTGAGAATACCCACTCAGGACAGCACTGAGAATACCCACTCAGGACATCTCTGAGAATATCCACTCAGGACAGCACTGAGAATACCCACTCAGGACAGCACTGAGAATGCCCACTCAGGACAAATGGACTGCTACTCATTTCTCTCCTTTGGCCCTGTTTTGCATTTTCTTCTCCTTTAGCTGAGAGATCTGCATTTAGAAATTTCCACGGGATGACAGTCTCTCTCTCCTTCCTTGACTTCCCACTCAAGGGTGTGCAGTCACCCCCATCCCCTGTCACCCCACCCCTGCCCCAGAGTCCACCATTGTTCTACCAACGCACATGTGTCCATATGGAGGTCAGAAGATAATCCTCGAGAGTTGGTCCTTTTTTCCCACTATATGGGTCCCAAGGGTTAAATTCAGGTTCTCAGCCACGGTAGCAGGCAAATTTTCCTGTTGAGGTGTCTCACTGCCCCTTATTCCTAACTTTTACTAGGCCTATAGCCCTGGAGCGATATTATTTTGAGAAGCATATATAAACCATCTCTGTTTGGCTTTGGAATTAGTGTTTGTTTTGTTTGTTTGTTTTGTGTACGTGAGTGTTTGCAAGCTTGTATGTATGTTCGCACCTTGTTTGTGCTTGGTACCCATAGAGACCAGAAAAAGTGTTGAGTCCTCTGGAACTGGATATGTGTAAGCTGTCACATGGGTGCTGGTGACCAAGCTGGTGCTCTACAAGAGCAGCAAGTGCTCTTAACAGTTGGGCCATCTTTTCAGTTCTGTCCTTTCCTATTTATTTATCTGCCTGCTTGTTTGTTTGTTTATTTATTTATCTGTTTATCTATCTGCTTAATTATCTGTTTGCTTGCTTGT